GGTAGACTTCATTGAATTACTTTCAGTGTTTCGTGGCTGTGAAACTTACATAATTTTATTGAGAACATGAGGTGAAAACTGATTAATGCACATTTGTAAATTAATTTTTACATGTTTTACACTGAAAGGCCACCTGTCCTAGAGTGGCCCATATGCTGTGAAGTGATTGCTCTTATACCACCCATCCATTTTCTTCTCAGGGGTCATCCCAGATCAGTTTATTAACGCAGAGAAATTCATGCCTACAGTCAATTTATCCATTATCCTGAGATGCATACCCTTGGACCAGGGGAGGGAGCTAGGGTACAAACAAATAGAACCTATGCAGGGATGTGGTGAATATGTAACCTCAACCCCTTTTGGATTTGAATCCAGGATCTTTTTGATTTTGCCGCTGTCATGATTCGTCTTTGATTTAAGAAAAAAATCTGCATGCGTTCATTGGAACCATGATATCTTTTCAGGATAGCAGTCCAATCATTTTTAACAAAGTAATCAGAAGTGGAACCTCTAAATTTTGCAGACTTAAAAGCAAAAGTAGCACAAAACCTAAAGGCAATGAATCTGATCACAACATTTAAACTAATCAATATCAAACTACATGATCAAGTAAATGGACTCTTACATTGTTTTGGGCCAAGAAAAAGGTTTGTGAAGACTAAGGATTTAATATGAAGATGATGTCAAATGTAACTTGCTTTCACATGGTGTGGGGTTTTCTTTTGGGAAAAAAAAATGTTCTACCAACTTCCTTACTAATTATTGAATATTTGTCAGTAATGTGTTAAGAGAAATCAAAATAGTGCTAAAACTGCAGGATACAGCCACTGATTCCAGAGTACCTTTGGATGTTTAACACATTTATTCACTCCAAAACAGGCCTTCTTGCCCTAGTCGGAAGTAGGAAAGTAGGATGTACAATCATGAGCTGGAAATGCTGTGCAATTGTCAAATGGAACAAACTTATTTTTATTTTGTGCTCACATTTTACTCGAAACCAAACTCATTAGAATTTAAATTGTGTTTAATTTGTCTCACTGAGCAGTACCTCAGCTGAAATTTGAGTTCGTGATTTAGTGTTTTGTGGACAAACGGCTGGACTAGATTCTAATCTCGGCACTCATCAGAACATGCAGAGCAGAGGATTTGTCTGTGCTGGGCCTGCTCTGTTGGAAGCAGGGTGGCTTTTTCTGCTGAGGGGATTACAGTAGTTTCATGTTTGTTTAATAGAAGGAAAGAAATAATGGTGCAAAATTGACTTTGTTATACTGTGAGATCTTAAATAATTGAACTTAATTCTAGCATCAAGTGGCAGCCAAAGAGGTTGCGCTATGTCTCTGTTCAAGTGTCTTAATTCAGCCTTTAATTAGGCCTTTGAGATTACAGTTAGACAGTGTGGGCTGAGAGGGCTTTTCTGCTTCTTCTGTGTTGAACCTTGTGTGTGAAGCTCTCAGCTGATTGCAGTGTTCAGTACCAGCCTCCAAACCAAAACAGTACTTTTCTGTCTGTTTTTCTCCCTCTGTCCCCTGTTCTTATTCTTTAAGAGCCACTGGCAAAATCAGTGCGACTAGACGAATACATGTTTCTCCTGGTTGTGCCCTTTGTGCGCCTTTGTTGGCTGCCAACTAAATCAATATTGTATGAACAGCAGGGTGACCTGAGCCTGCGCTAACACACCTGTGATTTGTCTATTATCTCAAGTCTAAAAGCCACTTCTTGTCAAGATTCTGTTATCTTCCAGAGCCGCGCAGTTCAGTGTGCATCTCTGAAAAGGTTTTCTATTTTTCTGACCGGTCAATTTAATTTAAAGTAATAGATTGAAATTGTATTTTGTTATTGTTTCTGTCTCACCAGTTGGCATCTGTTTCTTTTTTTTTTTTTTAAAGTCACAAAATGTCAGTTCAACTCAGCCTTCTGACATTTAAGCTCCCCTTGTTTTTGTGCCGTAGCAATGTTTATGTGTGCTACTTTGCTTTTGCTCCGTGTAAGCAATCGAACCGAGCGCTCTTTCCAGGCAGAAGAGGAGAGGGAGGACTAGAAGAGGTTGCTTTCCTCTCATTATCTGTGTCTTGCCTTTACCTTGACCTGAGCTCACCACTGTTTTTATTACAGGCCCTGTCTCTGAGCCAATCGGGAAGAATAAGAACAAAGCACAAAGTCAATTCAGCTGGAGTGGGACACAGTAACGAGTGGCTGTGTGTGAATGTGAACACACACACATACACACTGAACTACAAGGGTGCAGAGAATGTTCTTGTTTGTCACTACCTTTAGGAGCTGCGTGCAGAAGTGATTTAGTGTTTAAATTACAGGCTTGGCTCCATGTGAATTATCTGGCGACATCATGCTTTTATACAAGAAAGTAATTAAAAAGATTAAACTCACATTTCTGTGGCTTGAATCAAAAGTAGACTAACTACAACAGATAACTGGCAAAAGTCAAATTTTACCATCCACACTGTTACCACAGGGCTCTATCCTCTTTTAAAGTTGGATTTTTTTTACATCTTGTCATTGCCAAAAGTTTTGAGAATGACCCAAGTTTTGATTATCACAGTTTTGCTGCTTTAGTTTTTGTGATGCCAATTTGCGTAAACTCCAGAATCTCAAGAAGAAACAAACAAACAAAAACAATTTATACTGCAGTTCAGCACTGCAACATGAGCACCTGTTAGCATCATTTCAGGGATCCTCTCATTTACACAGGTGCTAGTGGACAAGGCTGGAGATCACTCTGTCATGTTGGTTGAGTCTGAATAGTAGACAGGATCCTTTAAAAGGAGAGTAGTGGTTGAAATCATTGTTATTTTTCTCTGTTCACCATGGTTATGTGCAAGAAAACTTCATAACTTTGCATAAAAAGGCCTTGTCCAGAAAGACTGTTGCTGCCAGTAACACTGCACTCAAATTGACAATTTACCAAATTATTGAGAACTTTAAAGAGAGAGGTTAAATTGTTGTGAAGAAGGCTTTGGGGCACCCAAAATGTCCAGAAAGTGCCAGGACTGTCCCTTAAAGATGATTCGATTATAGGATCATGGCATCACCAGTGCAGAGCTTGCTTTGGCATGGAAGCAGGCAGGTGAGGGTTGGCACTTTGCAAGTTTGATTCAGACTCAATGGGCCAAACCAGACACTTGCTTCAGGCCACAGTGGGTGCTATGTTCCCCTAAAAAGGTCCAGGGGATTAGGGAAAGTAAAAAAAAGATGTCCAGGTTGGAAAAAAGACAAGGAGGCAAAATGGTTCAATTAACAGGTTTTATTAATGTTTCTATTAGTAACTAAACTAAAAGAGACGGACAAGCCGCTATCACCCCTTTTAAAGAAAGAAAACACCAAAACTCAGGTGTTGGTTGATAAACTGAAAATAAGTCAAAAAGGGTTAGTACCAAAACACACTCCTCTCCACAGAGCAGGAGCAATCAATCACCACACACAGAGCTCACTAGCTGCAACACAACATGGCTCTCTGGCACTACAGCTCACCTTTCTCTGGCCTTAAGTATTCCTGATTGTTAATGGGAGTGAGCTGTACAAAAAAGGTGGCACCTAAGGCAGGAGAGGTCAATTTCACAAGTAACAGTGGTCACATCCACTGTAGACTGCAGTTTGGTCTCTTGGTTTCTCAGTGATGATCCTTGACATGAAGGTCAGTGTGACAGACGATGATATGTGCTCTCTGTGCAGGTTAGAAACCATGCGGTGAAATCACAGATGCGCATGCGCAAGTGGTCAGAACAGGACCTCTAGGAAAAGATCTAAAAATAACAACAGCAGCGCTGAAAGCAGTGCAACAATGCCCAAGATGACCTTAATTTGCATTAGGAAGCGGGATTGGTCTTCATATGGACATTTGACTTTGACATGGACAGTGCTATACCTGTCAACACAAATGGTACATTACACTATTGTTCTTACATTTGTAACACACACTTTCATATTTGTTGGTTGAGACATTTTAGTTATCCATAATGACTTTGAGAAGCTAATGGGTTTCTAAGAAATGCACATTGAAAGAGTCCTTGGCTGAGGCAGTCTTTCCTCGTGTTCATACTTCTGCTGTGAATAAATCTCCTGTAATGTACTGCAAGATGGAAAAAATGTCTGTCTTCATTCTGTGTAAAAATGTGTAAAGAGGTTGAGCTGAAAAGCTGAAAGAATAATATTCTACAATTGGCTGAACAAATTATTTTATTTCTGCTCTTCTGCTAGAGTTTGAGTTACAGGATTAAGCATCCCACAGAATGAGGACATCATTTACATTTCTTTCTTTAACTTTGAACAACATGGGGAACAAGAAGATTCTGCGTCCTTTAAAAGTCCTGATAATTTTAACAGTGACCCTCTCATTGCATGGATACAATCCTGACCAAACACTTTCTTTGCAACTGTTGGGAAATGTGTCGTGTTTGAGTGAGCGTTCTCTTTGAAGAATGCATTAGCTTAAGCTCACTTTTGTCCAAGAAGAGGGAAACAAAAGAAATTAGTTAAACAAGAGATATCAGTTCAATCAGAAACTAAACAACTGTTATGATTGGGAATGATGGGAATGATTCAGAGCTGCAAGATGCCTTGATTTTCTTCCAAAGAGATGAGTGATTTGTCCTTTCCTGTGTTTTATTTTTTCATTGCCATTTCTCTGCTTTCTTATCCATTTTAGCTGCCTTCTTGCTTCCTCCCCACACTGTTTTCTTTCTGCCTCTATCCCTCCTACAACTCACTTTGTCTGCATACATTTACTCATCTGGAACATTGTGAACGACAATGTTTGAGGATTAGTGTGTTTATATACAGTATGCATGTCTCAGTGCTGTGTGCTGAGCAGGTCCATTGCAGTAGATGAAGATTAATGTCTTGCTTGAAGGGCACCTCAGCATTATTTCCACAAGTTGTCATCAAGAAATTGCTGGTTTTCTGTTATGTCTCTTTGATATCAAGAGTTTTCAAAAACCAAACTTGACACATCTTTGCTTCTTCTCTTTCTCTTTTTGTCTTTACAGCATGCAAGTGTAACAGCCATGCCAACGTTTGCCACGTCAACACAGGAAAATGCTTCTGTACCACCAAGGGCGTCAAGGGAGACCAGTGTCAGCTGTGAGTGTGCCAACCCCGATCTAACTTGTCTTGAATTATTAGACGACCCGATCAAATAAAACTTATTTAATCAGTCACTTTAATACTTTAATATATGATATATGTATACTGACAACAAGAAGCGGACTGGAGAGAACACTTATTGATGTTTCAATGTGCAAAGACGCTTCATCGTGACATCGAATCCATTTCAGGATTGCAAATTTGCTGATTATTGCATAAGTTTTAGATTACGCCGAAATTAGGTTGATTCAGGATTTGATATTTTGGGTGATTGGAAAGCTAGAATAGTGTTTAAAGAGTGCATGGGTTGTGTATGCATGCTTTCCCTTGACTGCCAGACTGCACCGCCGCAGCACTACAATATCCTAAATGGCTTGGCGGACCAATGCGCCGCGGAGACAGACTGAAAACTGCTGCATCAATAAATCTAGCAGGCGAGGGTAGTAAGCAGAGCTGGTGAGTGCTCTGGTGTTTGTGTGGTCTGCCATGTACAACATGCAGCATGATGAGACAAGACAACCCCGGCTGGGACAGATTTCTTTCCCTTATTCTTAAGCTATGATAGCATACCTCAGATTATTTGTGTCCATCTGAGTGTGTTTGATAATTTGCCACCAGTTATATATTTTAATAATCAGGTATAGATTCTCTGCCCAGTCTTTTCAATTACTTCACTCAAAACATCAGTATGTTAACTCATTTTATTAGAGCTGCAGCAATTGTTTTTGATTTTCAGAACAAATAACCATCTAGAGAAATGATTTGCAACATGAGTTTTTATGATTGGTGGTAAACATGGTTTATATAATGATATTTCCTCCTCATTATTTCTCCTCCATGCTCTTGTAGCTGTTGCCTTTACCTTTTCTTCCCTCACTATATGCATGAAGCTTACAGCTATGTGTGGAGGAAGAGGGTGTCGCATTAGTTATTGGTGTTATCTTCCATATTTCTTTTGACATTTACACTAATGTTTGCATCTAGTGTCAGTACTTAAACAGTCTCAGTCCTTCAAACAGTTAAAACTAGAAAGTAACTCTAGCACATGGGTCCTGATCATCTTGAGTCATACCTACTGCATGTGACATTTTGACCCTGATCTTAGACTTTGACCCTCACCACTGACGGCCTTTTGCCAACCTCGCCATGACCTTTAAGTAATCCTGAACCCGAGCTCTGCTCCTGACATGAACATGACTTTGTCTGAGGGCAAAGTACCTGCCCCCTCACACTACCAGAGACTCTCCACATGTTTTCTGTCAACTTTAATCAGTGTTTTCCTGCTGTCAGCGTGCAGAACATTTTGTACTCATATACAGTCCTCCCCATGTGACCTTGGAAACTTAACCTAGAGAGACACAGATTTTTGCCAATATTTCCCAACTGCATTTTGTCTTCAAACGTGTTTCTGTTGAATTGTGTTGTTTTTGATGGACCTGCAGAGCTAAATAAATTTTATAATACTTTTGAAGGCCAGGATCATTTTTTACAACACAAACTTTGATATTTTCTGATAAACAGTGAAGAGGTTTGTGTTCCTATTTCAAACAACAGCACCAGGGTTGCAAAATGAAACAAATGCTGAACTCTTGAAAACAGTCCCTTAACTGTCTGTGAGGGTGGCTGCTTCAAAACACTGACAGTATAAAAGGTGGATGCAGCCACTTTGGCATCATCTACTGTGTTATGAAGTCCCCTTTAAAGGCTTGGAGATGTGTGTTTTAAACATTGCCATTGTGACGTTGTGAAACTCGATGTCACAAGTGGTGTTTTGTCAATCACAAGTTGCTAGCCAATGAGCATTCCCTGTAAAATTCTTCTTTCTGATTCTTAAATTTAAAATGTACAAAATGCTCAACAATGGCTATGAAAAAGGAAGAAAGGACGTTTGCTTGAGTCATGTTCGAGTTCCCGTCACTTTTAAAACCTGTAAACTGCATCCATCTGTTTATAGTGTATATGCTCCAAAAGGAAGTTAAAGCACCACATATGCTCCCATTTTCAGATGGGGATCTTTCAGCACAAACAAAAGACATGTTTTTGTATCAAGAACTCTGTAAATATTCACTACACATTGTCTGGGCTTTGGCTACTCAGACAGTCAGGTGTCTGTAGCTGCCATCCCTCATCTAATGAGAGTATCTCAGCTGGAGCACTCTAGTGTTTATGCCTTTGTGAACACAAATATTTCTATATCATAAATAAAAACAAAAGTAAACAAGTGAAAATAAGGCTTAAAATGGTCCCAGACAAGACTCTGACTCTAGCTTCGCTGGTGCTTAAATATGGAAACGCTTGCTTATGCTGTCAGGTAGTACAGTAGGACCAAATGACTTGTGTTAATTTAGTTGGAGGGAAGTCTAAACAGGAGAAACCACAGCTACAGTAGCTGGTTAGCAGTGAGTGAACTTTGAAAATATGAGTGAGGGGTTTATCCACTAGTAAGTCATTGGCATCATTGTCTCAGATGGAATAAAAAGTCAAAAGAAAATAAATAAATCACCAAATTTCCATGTGCAACCTGCCCAAGCTAAGACTCTGTGGGAAACCCCGATCATCACTCAGCTACATCAAGTCAACCACTATTAATAGAAACAGCTATTAAATATGTGGCGGGTCACTCTGATTATCATGTTAATAACGTGGCACATTTGGAACAAAACTCAGCTGCAGTTAAGCGGACTAAATAAACGCTGAATTGGAATCGGGCATATGTCCTAAGTACACCTGCTCATTTGGCATTTGTGCTTGTTTTTCCGTGTAACGTTTCCTTTCAGTGCACACGGATATTTCATTATTCTGTTGGAAACTCCACAGAGGGCTGAAAGCAGAAAAGGTTCACTTGTGTGTGTTTACTTGTGCATCACTAAGCCACCGTGCTGCTGTCGCTTTCACCTTTGATTTGCCCTGACGCCGCATCTCTCTTTCTCTCTTACTCTCTGTAAATGTGTCTCTGTCACAGCAGTGGGTGTTTTGGTTGAGTCACTCCAAAATGGTGTGCCAAGCAGAGGGCCATTTGTTTGTTGTTTTGATTATGAACAAGCAATTTCCCCCCGGGGGTGGATGGCGAGCACCCTCGGGTTGCAGCAGGTGCGTGGATGCATATTTGTCTGTGTGAGAGAGTGCATTCATAAATGCAGAGAATCGGAGAGACGTTGGGACTCTTTGTCTTTTGTGTCTGTACATTTATACAGCTCTGTGCTCATGAAGATATTGTCACTTTGTCTCAGCTTAGAGTGTCTTTTATATTTTTTTCCACTTTATTTACTTCGCAATAATTTTGCATCCAACATTTACATAATCAGGTCAGGACACACACCAATAAATACAAGATCTTCACTGACACGTTAATACAGATTCAAATTCCAAATAACAATAATTTTAAACTTCACTTTAAAAAGTTGCAAGCATTAGTTGTACACTTTAGATAATTCCAGCAATCTTTGATTAATGATTATTTGTGCACACTTGTGTAAAAGAATATGTAATCGGCCAATACTTGAACTCTAAATCAGATAAAGCTACATAGCAACAGGTTCCTAGTTTATCAAGAGCATGAGATTGTTAGCTTAGAAAATTTAGCTTAGAGTGTTAGCTCGGACATGGAAATGGAGACTTTCCATTTTCAACACTTAACACTCACTGTGCGTTGTCATAGCACTACATAGTCCTATTACACAGTCATAGTCATACTGATTACGATTTCTGTCAGAGCATATCTACACAACCTCAAAACAACACAACTGTGGGAGGGACCATGTTGAGGGTGTCGCTCAGTAACAGGTTCATTATTCACCTGTTTGAATTTCAATGAAGTAGAGTTTCAATAAAATGACCAAATTTGTATAAGAAGAAAAGAAACTGTTTATAAACTCCAGCAATTTGAAAGTCTCAATGGATCAATTGGTATTGATTTAAAAATTTTCAAGCAGTATGTACTTCCACAATAAATGATATTCATGCTGTAAAGTATTTGGTATTTGGTTTTGGTTACAGTTTTAATGTAAATTTATATATAACCTTTTAAAAATCAAACCATTGTCTGTGTCAGCACTTTTAATGTGCAGTCTATTGAACAGTCCATAATTTCTTCTTTCTTGTCGTGTTGTTTGATTCTTTGATCATTTTGATTTGGCTTTAATTGGCCTTCTCTACTGGGCTCCTTTCATTGACAGCCTATTTGCATGTTTTACTATTCCCAAGTTCAGACTTTCCCAAATTGTGGGGCCTGCCCCCTAGGGGGGCGCAGAGCCATTGCAGGGGGGGCGCGGTATGAAAAGGGGAAAAAAAACAAAACACTTGGACACTGCTAGCACGGGGCGCCCACACAAACGCAAAGCAGGAGATGAAGCATCGCTGAATATGTTTCCAAACCAACTTCATTCTAAGCCAAAGACTAGAAAATATGGTGAAGCATATCTTCCCTTTGGCTTCACCTGCACAAGTGCCGAGGTAGGTCTCCCCTGCAGAATTGGTTTTCCCTGCATCGGGAGCAGCGCTGGGCTCTTCAAATCACGGACGAACAGAATCCCAGATTCTTGATTTTTAGTTCACAAAAACTTCTCATAATGACTAACCACTCCTGACATTTTGGAGATGTTAGCTCTTTATACAGTAAAGTTACAGCGGGATACAAATAATATCAGGCTGATCCTGCCACGATTTGTCCCCTGGTTCAAATCCCGGACAAACAGTATCCCACAGTTTTTTATGTTTTTAAACCCATTTTGCACAGAGGCATTTTTTGAAAAATGTATTGATAGTTTTTTTTTAAAACTCAAAAAAGGAGTTTTAAAAAAATCTCCTTTTCGGTGATTCGAAACCGTTTACGTGTGGACGAAACAGCTGCGTTTTCAAAAATACCCGTGTAGGTGTGGACGTAGCGTAAAAGAGTAATAGTTTATTTTCTTACTACCTGTAATTTATTGCAGATTACTTGTATTTGCTTAATTGTTTACTAAATGTAAAGAGGGGGTAGCAAAAAAAGTTTGGGAACC